CGACTATTGAGGATTCCCTCTTGTTTTTTTTTGTTTTTTCATAAAAAATATAAATATCATGTTTAATTAACGCAATAAGATAATTTTAGCTATATAAAAATGAATAGCCCGACTTTTTTTTAAAAAATTATCGCGTTTGTGTTTTTTTAACCCAAAGCTACACAACGGAATTCCGCTGCGGGAATCGAACCCCGAATTTTAGCGTTGCAAGTGCGTGAACTTAACGCTGATCCATTGAGGGACTAGAGAAATGATTTCAGATCTAATAGAAAGTTGCGAATTGCAAAATTTGTAAAACAATCTTAATTTGTACAGGAACAAGACTACGCGTGGGGAGATGCGGGGAACATCATAGGGCGTGTACTGAAACGTTAACAAATACTTTGTTGTATGTTAACAACTACCGCTTGATCAATTTTTAACGAAATGCATGCAAAGAAATCCGTCGAGTTTCTATGGTCATGCGAGTGAGCGTGTCTTTTAAAATTCAAGTCACTACAGTTCAGACGTTTTCTGAAGGACTCTCACTAAAATTAATTGCTTCCTGGGCTTGCGCCCCAGATCCTTCTTTTATTCAGCAACGCCCCAGCGTGAAGGAAATAGTCACCAGTTAAACAAGCTAGTTTAGATTACTTCCTTGTTTCGAACCATGTATTGTTAGATTCGGTTTCATTTACATTTTAGAGTCACGTGATCAGGTCACTTCTCGGTGCTTTTCAATTATAAGTTTGGCAGAGTAGAGTAAAGAGTATTGCAAGTTAAATAATAGTGATGAAAACACGTTAGATAATTAAATCTTATAAATATGTACTGTTATCAGTAGATTAGAAATCCTTGCAAAGAATTAGTAAACACTAAAAAAAATGTATGTCTGTGGACTTACAACGCTAGAAACCGAGTTTTGATACTCGTTGTGGGCAGAGCACAGATAGCCCATTGTGTAGTCTTGTGCTTAATTACAAACAAACAAAAAAAAACACCGCACGTTGACTAACGGGTGAGAAGTCGCATTCATAACGGTATAAAGGAGCAATATACACTGATTTGAGTTTGTCTACTGTATCAGTACTTTATACTGCGTTTATTGAAGTGTATAGAATAGACCTTGCTAAAACTGGGCATGAAGAGTTACAAATGCGGAGTTAAGTGTTTAGCCTATTTCTTTTTGAGTAGTTATGTTTTCACAAAGATAAATGATATTCGAAGTTTGTTTGTCTTGGATATTCGCGCAGAACTACTCGAGGCTTATCTGCGCTAACCATCCTTAATATTGGACAAATAGACATGAACTAGTCAACAGCACCCACCACCAACTCTTCAGCTACTCTGCTCGAACAGTGGGGGTTGACTGTCACTATTATAACGAACCCAGGCGATTTTTCGACAAGGAGACTCAAAAATGAACCTCAGATTCACAGCCGGAACAGAAACCACTAAACAAAGCCCAGTTCAAAATTTACAAATGGTAGCAAATTTAATTCCATATATATGTGTGTGTACTTGGTAGGAAAAGTCTTTCAAAAATCCATAAATAACATTAAAAGAATAAGAAGACTATATTCAGGTGTAACATGAGTTAGGAAATTAGTTGTAAGAAAATTAAATTCTTTCATAAGATCAAACGCCAGGTGTATGAACTTATAGAAAAGTTCAACGGATAATTTCTCTGAGTGAGATGACTATAAGGCAAAATTGAACTGGATACTGTATCGGAGTGATATAAATTTGGAGAAGAGTTTAACAGATACTTTCTCGGAGTGAGATGACTATAGGGCAAAATTAAACTAGGTACTTCATCGGAGTAATATAAATTTGGAGAAAACTTAAACTGGATGCTCTCTCGGAATGGGATGAACCTAAAAAAAAATTCAAACCCATACTTTCTCGGAGTGATATGAATTTAGGGAAAAGTTCAACAGATGCTTTGTGAGAGTTAAAAAAAATCTAATTATAAAAATTAGGTTTTAAAAATCAACGGGTTATAAAAGAAGGATAACTATTGTCAGTTCGAATGGAGCTTATTAATTCTTCCTAAATATTATAAAGGTTTATATTTTTGTAAGACCATACTCTTGAGTTTCTATAGAGATAAAACAAAAATTCAGTGCCCTAAACTTTCAAATTGTTCATCTAAGTCACAAAAAAAAATCAAATCACTTTTAAGGAAATAAACCATCCGGTAGAGAACTTTGAAAACGGTGAAAGTCAAGGCTTGGATGGATTACCAGTTGTGTTATAAACTGTTTTTATAAAAATCGAGGCCCAAAATGTATAAAGCCTTTTTCCATTGCATATTGCAAGAAAAACCATGTTCTTCATCTATGTAAACTGGAATTATCTCTTTCTTCACCTAAAACATAAAACCAGTTGCAGTTTTCATGCATTGTAAACAGATTTCCTTCAATGATGTATGAATATTTCAACAGTTGTTTTAATAATAGTAGGCCAAATACATTAACGGTTGTTGGTTAATACAAGCGAAAACGGTTTCGTAAGAGACTGACATAAAGAAAATCCGTTCGGGTTGTTCGTGATGTAATACAGAGTTTGAATGATTTCAAAAGTATGTTTTGCTGTAATTGATTGATTTTGAAGAAACTTTTGTAATTTATTATGGAGCTTATTTTTTTGAAATTCTAGTCCATAATGAAATTATCGATAGAAAACAAACATCTTTGATAACGAATAACGTATGAAAGAGCCTTTAGTGAAAACATGGTTCTTTCTTTTGAACCGATCGCTAGAATATTTGTCTTATTCTTGACTATTCAGCAAAAATATCTCGATTAAAGTTTCTTTAAAAAACAACAATAAGTTTTATTTTCAAATCTAGTAAGAGTGTTTTGAAAGATCGTAACTATATAGAACTAACGGTTTCGCTTTGTTTAGAATTCAATTTGCTCTTTTCTTTATAACATTTTACAAGTTAAAACTTTACCTACCGAGAATTATTAGACAGAAAATTGAATTAAAATCTCGAGAAAGACAGACCGTTATGGGAAAGTTATCTTTTACCAAAGTTTAATGTGCTTTTTTGATGTTTGTTTTGAATTTCGCGCAAAGCTACACGAGGGCCATCTGCTCTAGCCGTCCCTAATTTAGCACTGTAAAACTAGAGGGAAGGCAGCTAGTCATCACCACCCATCGCCAACTCTTGGGCTACTCTTTTACCAACGAATAGTGGGATTGACCGTCACATTATAACGCCCCCACGGCTGAAAGGGCGAGCATGTTTGGTGTGACGGGGATTCGAACCCGCGACTCTCAGATTGTGAGTCGAGCGTCCTAGATTAACAGCATATTTTACATGTTGAGGAGGATATTAAACAGTGAAACTTTAAATTGTTTAAGTAAAACAGCTAGTTTAGTAGCATATTTTACATGTTGTTGAGGGTATTAAACAATGAAACTTTAAATCGTTTAAGTAAAACGGTTAGGTTAACAACATATTTTACGTGTTATCGAGGGTATTAAGCAGTGAGACTTACATATTTCTGCTGTTTCCTGCATAGAAGGATGTTTCCCATACAACGTCTCTTGTCCTCACTACGACGCTGATACGTCCCTCAATCATGTTGAACATGTGTAGCCAGAACTCTACCATACAGTTGGCCTGAGTGCCACTCATCAACCACGGGCTCTTAATCTCGATTCGACGAGTCGTGTTTGGCTCTTTCACAAAATTATACAAAAAATGGCCTAAGAAAGAGAGCAATTCAACACAATTTACTCCCATGCACAAAAGTAATTTGTGGACATACAGTGAAATCTAATAAATAATGGGAGCAGTAAAAATATTTTCGCACACTCTCAAAACAAAACAAAAAAAAGTCTGTTGTTTAAATGAATACAACATAAGTTCAAGTTAAGCAACAACACAGTCATTTTGGGGCTGATAAAACAGAACACAAATTCATTTGCTGATGAACAATCTTTGAATCGAATTTTATACAATCTACACACACACACACACACAATAACAGTGTATTTAAATCAACATAATTGTGAATTGAAAACCGCTCTTCATTTACGTTGTGGAAAATAGACAAAACACGTATCTTTATCGTTACAACAATTAATTATGTTATAGTTCACACAAGTGTTAGTTTGGGGAACACGATTTGTGCTACTCTGAAATAACACAATATCTGCGTTAATTTACAACCCAATTTATTTTTTACAATGTAACATTTCACATTGAAAATATATTTCATAAACACGTGATATACACCAAGATTCTAAATTACATGAGATTATTGGAAATAATTCTTTATAAAATCCCACACATAAGTATCACAAATTCTTATATGTATAAGTGTCCGGAAATGGTGGTGGTTTGTTCACTTATGTAAATAATTTTAGTAACTTAATTCCTGGACACTCGGGATGTAGAATTATAACTGTTCTCTTTAGGCATCATGACATTACTCTGTTCTTTGATTCGTTTTGATAATAAAGTAAACACCTATAAAAGAACTCGCTATTTCTTCTTTTTCTCTGATTCTTAGTATAATTTTATAAGATGACAAAACGGGATCTGTGTTAGAAAAGTTTTTTTTTTGTTCTTCATCCCTTGGTAGCACCATGGGTTAGCATCTGGATGAAGACCCATGTAAAAGTAATTTCTAAAGTAAAGAAAAAACTTTTCAAATAAGGAAGTAAACGTAGGGATGGTTAATATCAATCCTTCAAAAATAGAATGGCATTTGCATCATCCCTACATAAGGCAAATGCCATCCCCTACTATCTTGTTGGCATTATTTTTGAAGGATTGATATTAGCCATCTCTACATATACTTAATTTTTTTGAAAACTTTTTTTTTTACTTTTTTGCTTGTTTTTATTAATGCAGTGTTTTAGTTGACATGGGAAGGTTTTAACTTATAACCAAGTTCTAAATACAATGAGGTTCCAACTGTAATATTTATTGTTTATCTGTTATTGGCTGGTTATTCTTCTGTCACCCTGTACTATGGCTTTTTAAAAAAACGCCAATTTTTTTTTAAAAAGCTAACTTCAAGAGATAATGATAACATCGTTTACATCATAATTATGATTTTTTAAATTACTACTAGTTATTAATAATACTTATACAAGCGGATACTCCGTTTGAAACTATGTCACCTGAGTGAAATTCGTTGATACCATTGTTTTGGTTTTTGAGTTATCATGTAATAAAAAAGAAACAGAAAAAGAAGAACAAGAAATTCAAACTTTTTGCTATGATATTTGCAAACATTCCCAGAACTTGTGATTCAGTCATTACATAGATATTGTTATGAAAGGAAACATTGTATAGCATTGTAAAATTCTAATGAGCTATTGAGGAGATATTTAAAAAATACCACTTCGATGAACAATTCGAGCCATCCCTACATAGCTAGTGCTACCGCCTGCCTGATATTTTAGCACTTAGAAACTAAATAGCAAACGTACAAACAAAAATTTGTGTAAATTGTTTATTTGTTTTTTGTACATTAGTATTGACTTGGTGAACACGTGTTAAACATTACGACAGAAACCCGTAAAAATCGTGCTGTTTTCTCTTTGATATTTAGTAGTGACAAGATAAAAATCTGACCAAGAACTCAAACAAAATGTTCTATTCGTTCACTGATCCCTTAGAAGTGAATAGTACACGAATCGAAACCCATGTAAAACATTGTATTTGTTCTACGGTAGTTAGAAGCTTCATATACATATTTAAACAAGAATCTGTTAGATTTGACAGACATCAGCCTTATGTAAACACTTGGACAAGAATCCATGTAAAACACTCTCTTTTTTTCTATAGCAGTTAGCAGCCTTATGTATACATTAGAGCAAGAACACGTGTAAAGGATTTCGTTTACTGTATCGTAACTAGCAGCCCCATTAAATAATTGAACAAAAACCCATGTAAAATATTTTGTTTGTTTGTTTGAAATTAAGCACAAAGCTACACAATGGGCTATCTGGGCTCTGCTCACAACGAGTATCGAAACCCGGTTTCTAGAGTTCTCGAGTTGTAAGTCCGCAGACATGCCGCTGGGCCATGGGGGGGGGGGTGCGAATAAAATATTTTGTTTGTTCTATAGTAGTTAGTAGCTTCGTGTAAACACTTGAACAAGAATCCGTGTAAAATATTTTGCTTGTTCTGTAGTTATTAGTAGTTTCATGTAAACACTGAAACAAGAATCCGTGTAAAATATTTTGTTTGTTCTATAGTAATTAGTAGTTTCATGTAAACACTGAAACAAGAATCCTTGTAAGATATTTTGTTTGTTCTATAGTAATTAATAGTTTATGTAAACACTGAAACAAGAATCCGTGTAAAATATTTTGCTTGTTCTGTAGTAATTAGTAGTTTCATGTAAACACTGAACCAAGAATCCGTGTAAAATATTTTGCTTGTTCTGTAGTAATTAGTGGTTTCATGTAAACACTTAAACAAGAACCCGTGTAAAATATTTTGTTTGAGGTGCGGAAATTAGCAGCCTCTTGGACAAAAATCCATGTGAAGAATTTTGTGTTTGTTATTTAGTAGTGACACTTCGCAGATTAGTACAGAATCACATGTTTAATATTCTCCTAGTTTTAGAGTGTTTATAAACGATGAGTTCAACAATTGAACACGAACCCTTGTAAGATATTTTGTTTGTTCTATAGTAATTAGTAGTTTTATGTAAACACTTGAACAAGAACCTGTGTAGAATATTTTGTTTGGAGGTGTGGTAATTAGCAGCCTCTTGGACAAAAATCCATGTGAAGAATTTTGTGTTTGTTATTTAGTAGTGACACTTCGCAGATTAGTACAGAATCACATGTTTAATATTCTCCTAGTTTTAGAGTGTTTATAAACGATGAGTTCAACAATTGAACAAGAACCTGTGTAAAATATTTTGTTTGTTCTTTAGTAATTAGTAGTAATTAGAAGCATCTCCTAGAAAGTGCTCTGTTTGTGCACTCAGCAACCAAGTGGTAAATGTCGAAATATTTGCTAGGTATTATTTTAATTTTTCACGCTTTACAAGAGAAACCTTTGAACATGAACCTTATCTTCTTTAGCTTTCAGAAGAATGACCAAGTAAATACTGCGGAGTTACGAAATAAATAACGCGCTGTTTGTCACAGTATCAGGAATATTAATTTCGTTCTTCTGTTCTAGGTTTTAGCTGCCATGTTTTTTTCCTTTTTTTTCTTTTTGTTTACGTGTAATTACAGTAGATATTATCTGTCTTTAATATTATAGTATTTAAAAAAAAAGAATACGCTTAGTATAAGTGTGATTTTAAGCTGTGAGGCTACTATGATAAGGGAAACACGTTCAAAAACAAACACATGGTAAAAAATTAAGCACTCATGATTCTTCTTCAAGGGTGTGTTTAAAGTTTAAACACCACATTTTACACATTCCTGAGTAGGTATTGTAGAACAAATTAAAAACTTTATACCGGTGGGTAGCTCTACAGACCGATTGTTAGAAAAGAAGGACTGCTTCCTGTGGTTTCAGTGGCCAGCTCTTCCAACCGATTATTAGAAAAGAAGGACTGCTTCCCGTGTTTTCAGTGGCTAACTATACAGACCGATTGTTAGAAAAGAAGGACTGCTTCCCGTAGTTTCGATGGCTAGTTCTACAGACCGCATGTTAGTTTTCTTCCAGAAAAGAAGAACTGCTTCCTGTGGTTTCAATTGCTAGCTCTTCCAACCGATTGTTAGAAAAGAAGGGCTGCTTCCCATGGTTTCGGTGGCTAGCTATACAGACCGATTGTTAGAAAAGAAGGACTGCTTCTGTGGTTTCTAGCTCTACAGACCGATTGTTAGAAAAGAATACTGCTTCCCGTGGTTTCGGTGGCTAGCTCTACAGACCGATTGTTCCACCAAAAACACGGGAAGCAGCCTTTCTTTTCTAACAGTCGGTCTGTAGAACTAGTCACTGAAACCACGGGACGCAGTCCTTCTTTTCTAACATTTGGCCTGTATAATTAGCTCGCAAAACCATGGAAATATATATAGGTGATTTATTGAGCTTATAAGTCTGGGATGAAGAGGTCAATGCTGAACCTGACCCTCTCTGGTCCAAAACATGGAGCGAATCCCGATGAAGAAGAAGAAGAGATAACAATTCACTTGACTGATAGACATGGAGATAAAGATATCGACAGACGGACAGACAGAAATAGAGGTAGATCGACGGAACGGACGAACAGGCAGACAGAGAGATAGATCGACAAAACAGACAGATAGATAGATAGAATCTAGTAAGTATAAGATGAGGTAACTCGAGATCTCTAGAATGATTATAATTTTAAATGGTACATGACATCAGGTTGAGTGTAGGGGTGGCCGGGGCTGGTTGGCCGCAGGCCCAGGTTGACACAATTCCGATAACTTTCGTATGCTGAAGTTGGTAGCCGTGATATCATGACCATTAATATATTCAAACACATGTCACTTGCTGTTATTGTTTCATCGTGGTGGAAGCTCCTGTTATGTGCAGGGGTAAAAATTTGTATTTTCACATACGTAGGTAAATACTTTCTACTGCAAATATTTTTTTGTTATATTTAAGTATTTGAAGATATATTATTTCGGCTATATAATGGTACATAATTTTGTTTAATAACTAAGACTAGGATGGAACACACAAGTCATTTCTAGCTAAAATGCGATTTGGGACACGTTGACATATTTCATTTGGGACAGATTGACACG